CAGACAACCCCGTAACAATATGCGTTTTGTACTGCTGTTACACAGCACAAAACGCATAATAAATGATAAGTAGAGATTGGAGGAACTGCGAACAGGAATAAAGCTCTAACTTGTCTGTCGATGTGACGGGTGCAATGGCGATAAAAACAAACATACAAACAAAAAATAACACATATATCACACGCACATTCACACATTCACACCTAAACACACACACATATTAAATACATACACGCATGTACACACGTACACCCATACACACACATGAATGCGTATACGCATAGGCGTGGTGACATACATATTCAAATAAACTTACGTACCCAGACACACACGCATACATACACAAACGCATCCGGAGACATACCGAGATAAACGAATATACCCACACACACGCGCACACATACATACACACACATATACACACATACGCACATACACACACATACAAACACACGCACACACAAGCAAACAAGCATACACAAATATTAAAACAAACACACACATGTACTCAAACGAACACACACATACTCAAACAAACACATACATACTGTACCAGAAATTTCTGGAACTTTGGTATGGGGCGCCAAATTGATATGTTGTTTTACTCTTTGCCAAATAAGTATGAGTGCAAAATGTAACCATAACTAACCTCAACGTAATCCTCGTTATTGGCACCTAGCAGCGGTTCAATGTGCGGTAAAATTACGGTACAGAGGGTTAGATTCCATACAGAAGGTGCGTGGTTGAATGCATCAACAAGTTCGACCAGTACAGCCAAATCACCGCTTCGGGCTGCTTCTCCAACTGCAGCTTCAGCGCCACGTGTACGCCAGCAGTGCAGTACGTTGTCCAATGCGTTGCGCCGTTGATTGAGGAACACTTCGAGTGTACTGAGATCTTTCAGCATACCATCCAGATTGTACGGCTCACCAGGTACAACCTCCGTATGCCGGAGTTGCTCCAGATCCCGGTCCCGGTCATGCTGCTGCTGCTGCTGCTGCTGTTGCTCTCGTTGGCGCTGCCGCTTCCTGTCATCACTATCTCGTCGACGTATTCGATTTTTCTCTTCCTGAAACCAGCAAAGCCTAACATCCGGAAACCTTCATTGGCATACTTTTTTTTGCCCATCGGTGCCGAATGGAAATGTGACATAAGCATGTCGAAGTTACAGAGAAAAACGGAAATCAAAATTGCATTTTAAAATTCACTGTACACATATAAATATACTAAGAATGCTACGATCACCGTTGATGCTAGTGACGTTTACTGGGATGTCCTTGTAAGTCGGACGCAGTCATGCCAAGCGCTTCGATTCTCAGCTAAATATGTTCCTTCAGCAGCCGCCTGTTCCATACAGGTGCGTCACTTTTTTTTTCACACAGGGGCCGCCCGAGTGGTCGTTTACTTCCTCGTTGAGTACCAGTCACTAATGCGTGAGGTTCACAGATTTGTGATAATGCCGATAACACGCTCTATCCATCAAGTTTTACTTTCTCGCGCGGTCCTAATGTATGTAGCACAGTTGACGGACAATTTGGTTGTTCAGATGAAGTCATCTCTCGTTCCACTTCTCTACTTTTCTTCATTGACAATTTTTTGGCAATTTTCTTTCGATATGCAGTACTGGCACTTAAAATGGCTACTGGTTAGCCGCCAGCACCTCAAGTTTCAAAAATTCTCCAATGGTTTTAGCCAGTAGCCATGCCAACGACTTCGTTCTAGATTTCTTCATATCTATGCCACACCACAGATTAACGTTAGCCCGCTGACACAAAAGCAACGTTCTTCAACATAGCCAACAAAGGACATACTTTTTTTGAAGCAGAACGGATATCAGGCGCCGAATTTGCAATTTTCATACTGGCTACTGAAAAATGTGTTTCATAAGAATGTAAAAAAAAATTTCAATTCAAAAACTACACAAACAAATTTCTCCATATTCATTTATGCGAGGCGGAATGTCAGCATTTTTAGAAATACTAAAAAATCAATTTTGGAAACTAGGAAAATGCAAGACTTCACTGGTGAACCTGATGCAGCATTAGTCAAAAAACCAAGAACTAAAGAAAAAAAAAGACGCGACTGTCAGATATACCAGTCACGGATCAGTGGTGAACCAGTAGCAGTTTTAAACATCAAGTAGCACAGGAAAGTGAAATGAGTAGCTCAGAAACTGGCCTAGTTCCTAGACAAATTAAATACTCTGAATAAATTACCATTGGGCTGTTGCATACTTCGTCGTGGTGCTAGGCCTGATACCGAAGAACGTGGAATCGTATCACTAGTGTTCGTTTTTCGCGTGCTGCTTGAAGATTTCGAAACTGTGACCCTGAAAATAAAAGTCCAGCAATGAACAGATGGTCAGAACAGTAGAAGTCGAAGATGAAATGACATTCTGATCAAGTACGGAAAATCAGATTTGATAAGTTATAGTTCAGATAGTGTACAAATAGGTCTTATTTAATATACACTTAACCTACTGGTTGCAAAAGTACGCGAAAGTCGTTACTATGATAAGAAATTACCAGCTTTAAATTGTCTGGGACAACTTTAGTTGATAAGTACTAAATGATCGTGAAACAAATATGCATCATGCCGCATTCTGTCCAGCTACGCTCGAGCAATACGAATCAACGTGAGTTTGACCAACGAGTGATAATGCAGTGATTGTCATGCTACTATCCCTTCCCCCCACCCCCTCAAAAAAAAAAA